CTTAAAAACTAGAACATGGGTCCATTGACCACCGTATGGTAGAGATTTGCAGCTTATTTTCGGTTGATAAATTGATTACATTAAAAACGTTTCTCAATATCCCATTTAATTAAGTTATTCTTCTTCGAATAACCTTACAACATTGTAGACTAGAACATAAAGTAGCCATTAAGTTAGTGGCTCTAACTGCTGTCGGGGGAGTATTGCGGACTAACTACCCTCATAAGTCAACTAAACTGGCTCGCGAATTACCAGGCCAGGTCTTGGAACTAAACGGTCGACCATTTAATGTAAGGCTTTAAAATATACAGGGTGACTTTGAAATCGTTGGCAGCCTTTTAAAATAAGACCCTACTCATGATACAAAGTACATACCCCAAAATATGAGACAAATCGCCAAGGATGCCAACAATTTAAAAGTCAACCTGTATAACAGGAAAATTGTGATGAACATAGAGTAAGATAAAAAAATATTGTAAATCAAATGAGACCCACTAATAACATTAAGATCGTATTAATGAGTCTTAATCAAGATTACTAAAAGTCTACCTTTGCTGGTTTTGAGCTGGAAACATTGAATTTTCGGATAGATCCCGTTTATTCGGTAACCTATGATTGATACGGTTTGAAAGAGCTCGTGAAGCACTTTCAGCATCAGTGACCAGTTTATTAATACCTTGTATAGTTTAGAAATAATCGAGTGAGATCACTTATCGTTTCCACCCTGTATACTTTATAATACGATACAAGTCATCTAGGCAATACGTCTTATTAATACGATACATTTTTAGCCATAACAAGGAAGTAAGAGCTTCCTCACCTGATGGAAAGTGATGATCAGGCCCCAGAGGAACTACTTATCTTACCTCTAACTGCCGAAAAACAATGTGGTTAACAACAATGTTGCTATGGGGACAGACTTAGGTAAGATTAACTTAGAGAAGACCAACAAACTTAAATGGAACTAAATTTTCTCCCTTATCCTCTCCTATCCTCCCTTACCTCTCGTCATCCATTTTATATAAATTATATGTATGTATTTATGTATATATTTTGTATAAATATATATTATAATATTTTATGTATCATATTGTGTACATTTTTGTAGCTTTTTAGCACCGCCTACTCAATATCTCTGTTTTGCTCAAGGTCAGCTGGTAGAGAATGACGTATGGCATTAAGCTCGCCTTTTTGTACTAAACATTGTTGTGTGTGCAATAAAGTCTTTAAACAAATAAATAAATAAATTATTAACAATAAATTGGTGTACCTTAAATTTTAATTTCATTTTCAATGAATTCATCATATCAAATTGAAATAAAACAGGTTAATACCCAAAGCTTTTACTGAAACAAAAAGTTATAAATCCATATTTTATTTACGACCGTTTGATGGCCATAGTATAACATAACTTACACAATTTACAACGAGTAAACTTTTATAGTTAACAATTCTGCCGAACTGCCCAAAACAAATAGGTAATTCCCAAGTGTGTGTATGTTACAGTCAAAATTCATAATCGGTCTAAACCACTTCTGACTGCAAAAATCAGTCAAAACCACTTTTCAGTGAAAAATAATTATTCATCCGACAGAACAAATTGACAATCTACTTATATTTACCTGACGAATACCCAGATTTCTTAAAAGTAGTACCTAAGGTAGGTGTGATCATTTTGTATGTACAATCACATGTTAAATGTTACACTTTGAAATGGTTTAATAACGCATTTTTATGATTTTCAAGTTGTTATTGTTGTTGTTTCAGCCAAATGACGTCCACTGCTGGACAAAGGCCTCCTCCAAGATTTTCAAGTAATTTTCATTAATCATAACACTGTATGAATGACTGATTGATAAAATTTTAAATCAGTCGAAACCACTTATTGACTAATTTTTTGCACTTAAAAGTGATATTGACTAACGCGCTTGGTCAAGACCACTTTTGACTGATTTTCAACCGACTTCAAAGAAAGGAGGAGGTTCTCAATTCGACCCGTATGTTTTTTTTTTCTATGTTTGTTACGCGATAACTCCGCCAATTATGAACCGATTTGAACAAATCTTTTTTCAGCGTATAGGTAATACCTCAAGGGTGGTCCCATTTAAATTTAATAGTAAAAAAAACAACCCCCAAGGGTGGAAAATTGGGGAGGAACTTTTTTATACGCAATATATCCGCCGATTATAAACCAATTAGAACGATTACTTTTTTGTTGAAAAGGTATTATCAAAAGGGTGGTTTCATGCGAATTTGAAGAAAATATTTCACCCCCAACGGTGGAAAATTGGGGATGAATTTTTTTATAATATACATTAAGAATATGGTCTCAATGTACTGCCTACCTTCAGTGGTAACATCAAGGTAATAATTAGTTAACTAAAAAGCAAGAAATAAGTAAAATTTTATAAAAAAACAATACCGACTCCAAAAAACCTTTCTTTCTTTAGCATTTCAGAATGCCACCAGTGTCACCCTTAAAACCAATTGCGTAGAATCTTGTAACTTAGTAGGTGACGTAATCGGTAAAATTTTATCTTGTATTTAAGTAGGTACCTACCTATTTATATTAAGTTATTGCTATTTATATATGAAAATAAGACAAAATATATGTTTTATAAACACTTATGAGTCATTTATAGTAATAAAGTTTGAAAAAAATATTGATGTGAAGTACAGAATCACTTTCGTGGCATCAAACAATTCAAAACGTTAAAGCTTCCAAACGAGAGTCACTATTTGACTGATTTACTGAGAATACAATCTTCACATCAAGCGCTACAATTTTTGTTTACAAAAAGATGAAATAAGTTAGAAATAAAATTCGCCACGAAGGTGACGATGAGAACCGTGGCGATGAGAAATACCCTGATACTTCTGGAGTTGGTGCCAAGATTATGAAACATGTAAAGTTTGCCTGCACCGACTCCAAAAGTATCAATCATGGTATACCTACATAAATATTAATAATTCGTCCTAATAAATAAGTAGGTAATTAGTAATTATTTTTCTACTTTTTAGTTTAGGTTTTTTGGAGTCGGTTTTTGCAGTCAAAAGTGGTTTTAACCGATTATGAGTTTTGACTGTAACATGTATACCTACTGTATAACTTAGCATCATAACCTCGTTATAAACAAGATTCCCGTGTCCTTCCCTAATGGTAATAGTAATGAATTAAGTGGAGGGTAAACAAGATCCAATTATCATGAGAGTTTAATCACTGATACCTGTTTTTGTTTGTGCTGGGGTGAGGCGAGTTCGTTACTTGTTAGTTTAGTAGTAAACTCCTACATAAACTAAACTACTTGTGTATAAAGTTAACGCCTTCTTAGAGTAGGCGCACACCGTTGATTTTTCGTCGGCCGATAGTTTAGTCGGGCAGTTGATCAGTATGGGCATGTATGGGAGTGAGCACTGTGCTCACTCCCATACATGCCCATACTGGTGTAGTGTGCTCAGAGCACACTACACCGATTCGATTTGGCCGATTCTTCATACAAATTAAAATCGGGCACAACTATCGGCCAATAAAAATCAACGGTGTGCGCCTACTCTTAGGATTCAAACCGATGATATGATTACAATAGAAAGATTGTATTATTATTTGTTTGCTCAATGGAAGAGTAAAATTGTAACATTAGACTTTCACCTACAGAATCTATGATTTGAGTTTGAATTGAAAATACTTAAAAGAGAGTCACTCTTACCTACTCTCTGACCAATAATAATACTATGATACCAATTAAAATGCATAAAATAATTTTGTCCAAAACGTCCTTTGTATCGAACAGTCAGTTCATTATTAGCATCAGTTTTTTATTTTATCTTTTAATCTTATCGTATCACCAGAATATTCCCACCTCTCGTTCCCACCGCAACTCCTGTGTAGCCAAGATCTACAGCTTGACCGCCAATAAAAACCCAACCAGTGAAGGTCAAGTTTGTCCCGGGGGAAAGTTAACTGTCATTGGACCCGCAACGAAATTAATCAGAAGAACATAGGAGGAATTCCAAGTTAAGATTCGACTTGGTTTGCTTAAAAGCACGGAAATTTTTCCTTGACTCGACAAGATCGGTGTAATAAATTGCAGAATTAGATGTATGTTGTATTTAATTATGATAATGTTCTTTGGAAGATTCGTGTCAAAATTACCACATTCATGTTTCCAAAGATCACACTCCCACAAGATATGATGGGCAGACTGCTCATGACCGACTTCAACAGTGAAATACTCACAAAAAGGAGACGGAACTAGTTTGAATCTTATCGTATCAACGAAAATATTATAGAGTCTTATATTGTTGCAATAGGAGCACATTTGCAATAAAAAGTATCGTCCATTGTGTTGTCGACTGTACATAAATAATACCAACGCTTTATCAGTTACAGAGTTCAAAGGCCGCCCACAATGTTATTCGTCTCCAACAAAAATAAACATTCAGATATCATTATTTTGGGACCAAGAAAACTGTCTCGGCTGCGTATTTGCAAAGGCTTGTTTAACTTCCTGTCCGCTTGCCTCTGATACAACTGACTGGCTGTGTCAACTTAGTTACGAAATACGCGTTTTTCCGATAAAACAGTAAAATAATGTCAATGTGAAAACTTTCATATTCGTCAAGCATATAAATAATGAACATACATAAAAAAAGATACATACAGTTGAAAATTTATAACCTCCTCCTTTTTTGAAGTCGGCTAAAAACAAATTGCACTGCCCAACTATATAAAATAAGCCGCTTGATTCATAACTATTAGTTTTACTTTTACAATGCAATTTTAATGACAAAATAATAATTATCTTCTTAACTCGACAAGTTCTTAACAATTCTAAATACATATTAGTCAATCAGGTAACATAAACAGCAATAAGGAAAACCAGTGCGCTATTTATTTTATAAAAATATGTATTTTTTTAATCTCAACAAATATAACATTATCAAAAAATTTACCTGATAAACGAGTCCATTTATTTACAAAACATAACATGCAAGTCACGATGAAGGACAAGTCGAATGACTACGAGCTGGAACCAACAGACGAGTTATTGGCAGCCCAAGGATTTTTCTTCTTTTTAGCTGGCACGGATACTGGAGCCAACACAATGCATTTTACTCTTCTTGAACTGGCTAGTAATCCAGATGTTTTGCAAAGATTGCACAAAGAAATAGACCAAGTGTTTGAAGAAACAAACGGGGAAGTCACTTACGATGTGATTGATAAATTAGTTTATTTAGATATGGTGGTTAACGAAACTCTGAGGAAGTTTCCACCCTTAGGTGCTTTGCAAAGGGAATGTGTAAGAAATACGGTATTACCTGTTGGTAACTTGAAAGTTGAAAGGGGGGTTACAGTAGTTATACCAACTTATGCCATACACACGGATGAGAATTTCTTCCCGAATCCCGAAAAATTTGACCCAGAAAGATTTGCTCCGGAAAATGCTGCTTACTTCCCGAAATATGGTTATATGCCATTTGGAGAGGGGAGAAGAATCTGCTTAGGTAAGACTTGAGTTCTTTATATTTATTAACGTTGTTAATTTTGTACAGATGGAGCAATTCTAGGTTTGGTAATTTACTTAAATAAACAAATATCTCTTGGACAGTTTACACTGCGACTTTAGTTGCCTGTTAATATATAAGGAATTTTATTTCTTTCAGGTTCCAGATATGGACGTATTCAAGTTTTATCTGGCCTAGCGTGTTTACTGCGTTCGTTTACTCTGAAACCTCAAAACTATACGCCTCGGTTCCAGAAGAGCAGCTTCAGCTTACGAGACACTAACTCAAAGTACGACTTGATTCTGAGAGAAAACATGTGAAGAAAGTGACAAATATAAGTAGGAGTAATAATAGCATTTGATACTAAGATTGGTGACTGTTCAAAGACAAGGACAAAAAAGTGAATGAAAAGACTTATTTTGAAATAATTAATATATTTTTTATTGTCGAAAATGTAGTCATGTATGTTAAAATAAATCAGTACATTACCAAGTTGTATAATTCTGTTTCCATTTATTTATTTTCATTTAATTGCAAGACAACCCTTACCATTCAACATTTATTATTGTATTTCTTGAATGAACAATTTGCAGACTGTGCCCGTACACAGATTCCGGTCCCTAATTTTGACAACATAATTGATAGCAATTTAAGTGTGAATGATTGTGCCAATGAATTTGACCTTGAATTACATTTAGACCGCGTGTCCGATCAACTAACTGTTTGCTAGGATAAGATTATTTCTTATGTCACTTCGGTTATGTGAGTGACTCGTGAAGTCGTGACTATGAATGAATACTGATTGTTTTGAAAATATGTATTTTGGGATACAATCAAACCTTAATATCTCGATTACCTGTTCTCTACAATTTGATGAAAATGTATTTGCAACAAAAACAGTTCAATATCAACATTATTATTATCAGTAACCAAGTTCAAAGACACAATATTATTCATCGCCAACATAAATAAACATTCAGATATCATTATTTTGGGACCAAGAAAACTGTCTCGGCTGCGTATTTGCAAAGGCTTGTTTACCTTCCTGTCTGTTTGCCTCTGATACAACTGACTGTGTCAACTTAGTTACGAAATACGCGCTTTTCCGTATGGCCAGATATTATTACAGGTTCAAATCCGACAGATAGTAAATTAATGTTAATGTTATGACGTGAATGTTAATGTAATACATGATGAATTATTTCCTGCAGTAGGTACAGCTATCAGTTCCCTTCCTAGAAACTTTCTTTGAACTTGGCTTGGCTAATTGCAGTGACAGTTGAATCAAAACAGATTCTTATCAGTTAAGAAATCAATCAAAACCCGTAATGTGACAAGATTGATAAACATAAGTAAATTAACGAAAACAACATCGTGTTGCACAATTTTAATGCTAAATAATTACTTAGCTATACGTATAGCAGCCCGAATAAAAACTAAATAATAATTATTTAACTAAACAAGTTCATGAATAATGTTAGTCAATCAGGTAATATAAACAGCAACAAGGAAAACTAGTACACTATTATTTTGTTTGTTTTTTTCATTCTAAGAAACTCGAAGTGCCTACACAAATTGATAAAACCTATCAGAAACAAATGGATCCAATTATATCAATATTTACAAAACTAAAATGCAAGTCACGTTAATTAGTTTATCTCAAACAGAGGACGATAACGATTCAAATCGTTTTACAAAAGTAAATAAGCATCTTCCATTGTTTTCCTTTAATATTAATAAGGATAATTCAGAACATCTAAAGAAACTATCAATAATGCATCTATAAATAAACACAACACGACTCTACCCATTAGTACGCTTCTCGCCGTCGCTTTGACAGCACCTATCTCACAATGTGGATAATATTATTGAGCATCTGTGTGATCTTAGTTGTGTGGTTGATATTTACACAAAGTAACAAAGACTATTGGAAAAAACGAAATGTTGTACAAGTGAATGACTTGCTAGTGAGTTTCTTTCGCGGTGAACGTTCTATCGCTGAAATCTACAAAGAAGTTTACGACAACCATCCAAATGAATTGTACGTCGGCTCAGTTATGATGACGAAGCCAACACTGATATTGCGAGATCTACAAAACATGCAAGCAATTCTTCACACAGATTTCGAAAGCTTCTCCAGTCGCGGGATCGACTGCAATGAAAATGATCTATTGGCAGATAACGTCCTATTCATTTCTGACTATCAACGCTGGAAAACTATTCGACAGAAAATGACGCCGGTCTTCACGAGTTCTAAGCTAAAAAGTATGACGAATGTTATTAAAGAATGTGCTCGCGATTTCGTTGAAATGGTGAAACAAAATAAAGAAATGAGAGAAAAACCATTCACTGCTTTATACACTTACACTACGGCTACTGTTGGGGCCTCGGTTTGTGGCATCGATACACAAGTGAACAACAGTATGCAGTCGCCTTTCCTTGAAATGAGTTGGAAAGCTTTAGAACCCTCAACAATTACAGATATAAAATTTGCCATATCTACTTTTTCTCCAACTCTTTTCAAACTTCTAAAACTAAAGATATTCGGAGAACATGAGGAATTCTTCATTGGAGCAATGAAAAAGGTGCTAGCTGCGCGTAGAAATGACCCACACAATATCAATGATTTTATAGGATTGTGTATGGAAATCCAAAAAGCTGGACCAATGAAGGACAAGTCGAATGACTACGAGCTGGAACCGACAGACGAGTTGTTGGCAGCCCAAGCATTTTTCTTCTTTTTAGCTGGCACGGATACTGGAGCCAACACAATGCATTTTACTCTTCTTGAACTGGCTAGTAATCCAGATGTTTTGCAAAAATTGCACAAAGAAATAGACCAAGTGTTCGAAGAAACAAACGGGGAAGTCACATACGATGTGATCGATAAATTAGTTTATTTAGATATGGTGGTTAACGAAGCTATGAGGAAGTATCCACCCATAGGTGCTTTGCAAAGGGAATGCGTAAGAGACACGGTATTACCCGTTGGTAACTTGAAAGTTGAAAAGGGAGTTACAGTAGTTGTACCAGCTTATGCCATACACAGGGATGAGAATCTTTTTCCGAATCCTGAAAAATTTGACCCAGAAAGATTTGCTCCGGAAAATGCTGCTTATCTCCCGAAATATGGGTATATGCCATTTGGGGAGGGGAGAAGAATCTGCTTAGGTAATCTTTAATTTATTAATTTTATTTACGTTGTTAATTTCGTACAAATAATGATCATGATGGTCTTCGTTCAAAAATTGGCAATTTACATGTCTGATCATTTATAAGGATTTTTGTTTCCCATTTCAGGTTCCAGATATGCAAGAATTCAAGTTTTATCTGGCCTAGCGTATTTACTGCGTTCGTTCACTCTGAAACCTCAAAACTATACGCCTCGGTTCGAGAAGAGCAACTTCAGTTTACGAGATACCAACTCTAAGTATGACTTAATTTTAAGGGAAAACATCTAAAGAAATTAATTATATGAGATGTAAAAGGAAACAATAGCATTTAATACCAAGACTGATGTATTTTCAAAGACATTGACAAATAAAAGTAAAAGGCGAATGAAAAAGACTCATTTTGAATTAATCACTTTTGTTATTTTGTCGAAGATTTATTAATTACGTAAAATTATATTTATCTCATAATATTAATCAGTATGAAAATATGTATTTACATTTTGGTTTATTATTTTTCCGTAAACATTTTGTGAACTAAGCCTCTGCACAGATTCCGGTCTATTATTATTATACTAAAAAGTTCTGTTTACTAATTTTAGTATGATTGTACCAATGATTCTGACCTTGATGTATATTTGGACGTGTCGGAGTCACTTTGTTATGTAGTTAAGACATGTTCTTATGTAACTTCGGTTATGTTGTGTAACCCTATTTATCAAATTAATTATTTCTTATTTTAGTAACTTAATTTTAACCAGGTCTTTTTATTATAAATGATATTACCTAGATAATCAATAAATGAAAATAATTAATGATTTATTATTCTTTTACCCTATAGTACGTATATTTTGTGACTAGTGTGACACTTGAAAATATTCTGTCTCGTAAGGACATCCTCATAAAGTCAGGTTAATTTACAGGGTTCCAATTGTCCAATTCTAATGAGGTCAACTCTATGTAGGTACCAATGGAACTACGGAGGTGTAGATTGTGATCCTTTGGTCCAAGCAGGATAACTATGTCTTCAATAAACTAATATTTTACTTTTTGTGTACAAATACTGTAGGTATTAGTTACTAAAATATTTAGTAGGTATGTTTCATGAACTTCAATAAAGCACTTACTACACTTGAATAAGATCCTTATAAAGCATAAAGTTTTAAGTGCTACTTACTTTAGGCCATCGTACAAGTAATTGATACGATAAGTAATTGAGACAATAATCAATTATGATAATTAAGTAAACAAGTTACGTTAAAACAAAGACAAAGGCTAGACATTTGACGTCATCAAGTACCTAAATTAATAGTGACAAGATTTTATTGCGCAACTTACGAAGATACGAAGAAGAAGAAGATTACGAAGAAGATAATAAGAAGCAAATGAGCTTGTAGGTAGGTACATTAGTTATGTTTGGTTTAAAACAAATATCTTGTGTCATTATTTCAAGGAAAGCGCAGTATAGGAGCTCCACAAGGTGGATCAACGATCATAAAGGGAGCAGAAAGGCGCTGAATGCAGGCCGCTACCAACCGGTCACTATGGAAATCATTGGAGGAATCTATGTTCAGCAGTGGACGTTCGATAGCTGAAATGATGAACGTCAAGTTGTCATACACTCGGCCTATTTTTTCCGATCTAGTTGTGTGGACATCAACAACAACAATGTTATCATCAATGAAACGGACCTGACTATAAAGTTACCAGTAGTCTCCATGATCCGGTATTCTATAGAATGTCTTAACATTTAGGCATACCTAGTATAAAATTTGACATATTTTGTCCAGGCGTTCATTAAAAACCTGCATCTGACCCAAAAGGTCCCGGATTCGACTCCCAGTGTGTGAAAACTTTTCTACTCTAGTAGGCGGTAAGGCTGGTTCGGAGTCCGCCTGGCTAGTTACCTACCACCATCTTGCCTAAATAACAACAATGTTATCAGCAATGTTAACCCATTAATAATAAATAATTAAATAATAATCCTATAATAAATAATTAAATAGCACACTTTAAATCTCAAAAGCCTCATGCCCGTTTTCAACATCAATCCCTAATTTTTAAGTGATCACTATGAAAGCAAAATTCCTGTTATGTGTTAGCATAGGGGTCACATAAAAATTAGGGATTGATGGTGAAAACGGGGTTCAGACATTTAGAAAAATGCACCTACCTCGGTCAATGATCTTTTCACTTCTATGCCGTTTTGTTCCAAAGAGACTGCAGATCCTCATTCTCGTAAAATACGAGTACCTGTAACAAAAAAAAAAACACATTACCTGGCTGTCTTTCGCCAATTATTCTTCTATATTCTAAAAACGATTAGGTGTTTTATGTAATTACTGAATTATTTAATTTACCAGTAACACACATATACTAACAGAACGAAATATGCAAGTCACGGTGATTAATTTTCGTCGCATAAAACCAGAATCACGATGACGATACAAATTGTTAAACAAACAATAACAAGCCAAGCTATCTATTTTTATTAATTTAGGAGATTTGTTATTATGCACCGATACTAAGAGTATTATTGATACTATAAATATTATCACTATTGACAGAACTAAGACTTTAACTTCAGTATACTTCACGCAGTCGTATAGATTTGTAGATAACAACAATGTGGATAATATTATTGAGCATCTGTGTCATCTTAGTGGTATAGTTACTATTTAGGAACAGTAACAAAGATTAGATACTGAAAGAAACGAAATGTTGTACAGATAGACGACGTCCTAGTCAAATTTTTATTCGGAAAACGTTCGCTTGCTGAAATCTACAAAGAAGTTTACGACAACCATCCAAATGAACCATACGTCGGCACAGTACGTTAACTAAACCAACACTTGTAATACGAGACATCCAAAATGTCCAAGAAGTACTAAATACAGAATTTAAAAGCTTCTACAGTCGCGGAAACGATTTAAACGACAATGATATATTGGGAGACAATAATCGACTTATTTCTGACTACCAGCGCTGGAAGACTATTCGACAGAAAATGACGCCTCTTCCTTCACCAGTTCCAAACTGAAGAGCATGATAAATAATACAGAAATGTGCTCGCGATTTCGTCGAGATGGTGAAACAAAATAAAGAAATGAGAGATAAACCATTAAATGCTTTATACACTTACACTACGGCTTCTATTGGAGCGTTAGTTTGTGGTATCGACACAAGAGTTAAAAGCACAATGCAGTCGCCTTTTCTTAATATGAGTTGAAAATCTGGGGAACCCTCCTTTGATAATAATTTCAAATTCGCCATAGGTGTTCTGTCTCTCAAACTTTACAGAATTCTAAGACTCAAAATATTCGGAGAGCATGAAGAATTCTTTCTTGGCGTCATGAAAAAAGTGATGGCAGAGCGCAGAAAAAATCCACAACACATTGACAATGATTTTGTGGGATTGACCTATGAGGGACAAGTCGAATGACTACCAGTTGGAACCGACAGACGAGTTGTTAGTAGCCCAAGCTTTTCTTCTTTGTAGCTGGCACGGACACTGGAGCAAACACAATGAATTTTACACCACTGGAACTTTCCAATAATCCGGATCTTTTACAAAGATTGCACAAAGAAATAGATAAAGTGGTTGAAGAAACAAAAGGACAAGTCACTTACGATGATATTGACAAATTAGTTTATTTGAATATGGTCGTTAACGAAGCTATGAAGAAGTATCCACCCATAGGCTTATTCCAAAGAGAATGTATGAGAGATACGGTATTGCCTAGGCTTTTTCCAAAGAGAATATATTTTATTATGAGAGGTACGGTATTGCCTGTGGGTAATTTGAAGGTTGAAAAGGGAGTTATGGCAATCATTCCGACTTATGCCATACACAGGGATGAGAAGTTATTCCCGAATCCCGATAAATTCGATCCAGAGAGGTTTGACCCGGAAAATTCTGCTAATTTCCCGAATTACGGATATTTGCCATTTGGGGAGGGAAGAAGAATATGCATGCATAGGTAAGCATACAACATAATTATGTTTAATTTAAATGTCTGGGTGGTCTGGATGTTATTAATTTAAAATATTTATTTAATTACTAATTGAAAACGATCAAATGCTCTTCATTCTTCTTTAGATTGTCAACTTCTTTATAAAGACAGTTATTTTTAGGAGTTGTGTTATTATAGACTATATCTTAGAAGACACGTTATTGATTTATCCATTTCCATAGAAAATAACCATATTTTTATTTCACATTGCAGGTTTCGCACGCATTCAAGTTTTGTCTGGCCTAGCGTTCCTACAGCGGCAGCGTTCGTTCACTCTGAAGCCTCAAAAATATACGCTTCTGTTCCGAGAAGAGCAACTTCAGCTTACGAGACCCTGACGCCAAATATGAGTTCATTTTAAGAGAAAATATCCATTGAAAACCTTATATTTTCTTAGCAACGCGACGACACATCAGACTGTACAATTTTATTGTAATGTAGAACTTAATACAACTACAAAAGATGCTTGATAATGTTAATTTGTGAAGAAATAAATAAAAATTAATCTAAAATTTAGTTTTTTATGTTTTTTTTTTAAATCCGTAGAATCTAAGAACAAGCCATTAATCACAGACTTCCATTTTACCTGATTATGAATTCAAATTTAAGAATCATCCGCCGCTAGAGAACATTTATATCAGTTAAAATATGTCAAAACTGGATACCTGGGTAGACCTTACATCGCGTGAAGGCAGATCGGTTTGTTTTTATACTTTCTCGAAATAAATAAACTGTTTATATTGATCTGTACCTTAATCATTTATTTATGGCGCTCTTATCTTAATTGCTACAACAGATTTAGATAAGTGCATGTATCTGTATAATCTTGCTATTTGATAAGATAAAAATAATAATGTATTTCTGATAACAGAAATATTTTGACGGCCACCTCGTGGTGGGCATTCTTAATACCTCCTGGTGAGTCATTCTTACTATAAATTTTTACAAGTTTTCTTTCACAATTTTAAAATTTTATAGGTATAATTTTACTAACTGAAAATAAACAAAATAATTATATTATTTTTGGGACCTACGAGTAAGATGGCACAGGTAAATAATAAATTATTATACCTTTATTTCAAATTCATTGATAGTAGACTTATAAAAATCTCTTTTACACTTATATTAGTAGATTACACATAAATAACATTAATTTATTCCATGTACCTACTTCACAATTATTTAACAAATTATGAATTTATAATTAGGAATATTCTTAACAGAAAATCTGATTTAATCGTCTGATGAATTCGGTGTCTCAAAAGCATTAAATATGTTCTAAAGAATCAAATTTAATTTAACTTGTGTGAAGTTTATTAATTAACGGAATTATTCAGTCGGAAAATTTGATCTTTAAGAGCGAGTTTAATATTTATTAAATATTATAAATTTTAAAGTAATTACGTAGCTAAATGATTTCAAAATAGAGTTTTGTATGTACTACGCGAGTTTTTATAAAACTTTATTTAGTTCAGGGAAAAAGATATAACAAATTATAAAATTATTTATTTAAAAACACAAACTGATAATTTTCAAGTACGAGTACAAGCACAACATAAAATAAATAAATGTGCAATTTATCCTGGGACATTTCCTTGGGAATTTAATTTGTTCGAATAGTACAAAATATAATAATGTAAACATTATGAAAACAAACATAGCTATGCGAAGTGCCATAGCAGTGTGTTTCAATCTACACAATATAAACGGTTTCAAAAAATTTTTGTTTTAGTTCAAAATAAGCGATCATTCTATAAAACTAATTGTTAGTAATGTAGTTTTTCAAGTGAACACTGATTCTGTTATAATTTAAGTAAACAAATTGAACCAGAATCACTACCAAAAGATAGAGCTTAAAAGTTTACATAAGCTTCTAATTTGACTTCTTTGCAAAATGCTCACGTCTTTATAATATTATACAAACAAATTCTTCAACCTTTATATTAGTAGTACTCATCAGCCTTTATATTAGTACTCTTCAACTTATAAAGAAATGGTGCATTTTGGGAAGTGCTCATTTTACGAAGTGCTCATTTTGCGAAGTGCACATTCTCTGTCAAACCCTTATCTTCTTTGTGCGCTTCTTCTTTATGTTTACAATTCCTTCATCACATGACATTTTCTCTTAGCACCAGCTCGTACTTCGCTTCAGTGTCTCTTGTGCTGAAGGGGCTCTTCTCAAAACGCTTCGGATCATATTTTTGAGGTTTTAGCGTAAATGAACGCAGCAAAAACGCTAACCCTGTCACAACTTGAATGCGAGCGTACCTAGAACCTGCATAAAATAAACACCATGATAAATTAACTTTAGAAACGGTAAAATAAGTAAAAGAATCACAAATCTTATACGTTTTTTTTTCAATCACTAGAATTAGATTTAATTAATGAAATCCTTTGATATTTAATTTTAACACTGTGCCATCTCAAAATAAACAAAGCTTGTCTTGTGAGTACTATATGACAGATGATAATAGTTTTTAAATACTTTTTATTCATTCAGACAATCCAGATCCAATTTAAACTAACCATAATTATGTTTTATGCTTACCTATGCATGTTCTTTTCCCCTCCCCAAATGGCATATAGCCAAACTTCGGGAAATTTGCAGCATTCTCCGGGGCAAATCTCTCTGGGTCAAACTTCTCAGGATTGGGGAACAATTTCTCATCCCTGTGTATAGCGAACACTGGTATAACCATCAAAACTCCCTTTTCTACTCTCAAGTTACCAACAGGTAGAACCGTATCTCTAGCACATTCCCTTTGGAAAGAACTAATCAATGGATACTTTCTCATCGCTTCATTAATGATCATATTTAAATAAACTAATTTGTCCACAACTTCGTAAGTTATGCGCCCATTCGTTTCTTCGAACACTCTATCTATTTCTTCGTGTAATCTTTGCAAAACATCTGGATTGCTGGACAGTTCCAGTAGAGTAAAATGCATGGTGTTTGCTCCAGTGTCCGCGCCAGCCAAAAAGAAGAAAAATGCTTGGGCTGCCAACAACTCGTCTGTAGGTTCCAACTCGTAGTCATTCGACTTGTCCTTCATAGGTCCAGCTTTTTGAAGTTCGACACACAAGCCTATGAAATCATTAATTTGTTGTGGACTTTGTTTGCGCGCCGCTATAACCCTTTTCATGGCTCCAATAAAGAAATCTTCATGTTCACCGAATATTCTGAGTTTAAGAAGCTTGAATAGTTTTTTAGATAAAATAGCTGTGGCAAACTTTAGATTAGCCTTTACCGACGGTTCCACAGCTTTCCAACTCATTTGAAGAAAAGGCGATTGCATTGTACTTTTAACTTGCGTATCGATACCACAAACTGAAGCGCCAATAGAAGCTGTAGTGTAAGTGTATATAGCACTAAATGGCTTATCCCTCAATTCCTTATTTTGTTTTACCATTTCAGTGAAATCGCAAGCACATTTTTCAATTACACTTGTCATACTCTTCAGTTTAGAGCTAGTGAAAATGGGCGTCATTTTCTGTCGTATAGTTTTCCAGCGTTGGTAGTCAGAAATAAATAGAATATTGTCTCCTAAGAGATCATTGTCATTTAAATCACTTCCACGACTGTGAAAGTTTTCGAAGTCTGTAGTTAGGACTGCTTGAATGTTTTGAATGTTTCGCAAGACAAGTGCTGGCTTCATCATCAGAAAGGACCCGACGTGTAGTTCATTTGGATGGTTGTCGTAAACCTCTTTGAATATTTCGCCAAAAGAACGGTCGCCAAACATGAATTTCAGATACAAATCGTTTAGCTGCACAACATTGCGTTTTTTCCAATAGTCTTTATTATGCTCTTTGAGAATGAACCACAATACTAGTCCGATACAAATGGTTGACAAAATTAACCACATTTTGAGATAGCTGCTATCAATTTCACCGCGGAAAGTACACTGACGGAAAGCACCATCAATGCTTTTATATGTAGTGTCAAATCGAAGAGATACAGGAAAAATGATAATGGTAATTCTAGGATAAGAGACACTTGCTCGTTTAAAAAGCTTACTTCCTGAGCTTTACCTGAATTTCATTTACCTGAATTTTAATTACCACAAGGAAAATGGTCAATTTCGGAAAGTAAATTAATGTTTATCCCAAAAAATTACTTTGGAAACATCACTTTTCTTTTTTTTCTAAGCTTTTAAAAATTAAAGTAACGATGACTCAACATTTTGTACAGTTTTGTATGTAATCATCATGATTTTAGATAACTAATGCATGAACTAGTCAGCATGATTTGTAAAACTGAATATTCTACATATATCTATCTCCACCCTACAACGTTTTTTATATATTTTTGAGGAAATAACTATAATATTACGAATAAACTTTTTTTGTTTAAAAAGGCAAGATAATAATTATGCATACTACTTAAACATAAGCATATTCAGTAAGTTTAAGGAACACAAAATTGGTCAGTTTTAAAAAATGATTTCGTAAATAATTTAAAATGTATTTTTTTAACGTGGATGACGTAATAATTTTTTGCAAAATGAAAGTAGTTGAAATATATTGTTGTTATTAGTTTGTATTGTCATCATGATTTCATTTAATAATGTGTGCAGTAGTCAGCATGACATGTAAAAAATATTTTATCGTTGTGAAAGCATTTTCCTTTTGGGTATTTTCCATAATGAGCTGTATTACTGAGAACTAATAAATATGAAATATTGGTAAGCCATACGTCGAATTACGTGGAAAAGTTTATTCATTATTTTTGTTTGATCAGAAAATTCTGGAAATAAGAAAGTCGGGATCACCTTCGATTGACGTAATATCACCTTTATGATTTGTGTTTCCATCTAAAATGGAGACAAAATTATAAAAGACTTTACCAATTACATTTAGTAAAATTTGAATTCGTATGACCCACAGGGTACCTGGAATCGAGAGAATTTATCTTAAATCACTAAACTATGGACAAGATATCATTTCGTATAATTTACGCTAGAAGGTAGCAGCTAACAAATCGATCAACATGGAAATCATTGGGGTGGCCTATGTTCAGTGGACGTCCTATGGCTGAAATGATGATGATGATGATGATAATAATGTAGACTCTTTGTCACCTCAAAAGTTACCGTATCATTCTTTAAATATCACACTAATTTCTTAAGACGCTACACAGACAGCTGTAAGATACTGGTATAAACGTTTTAGTTCAGCAAGTTCTTAAAGCTACTATACTCGTATAAAAGTTTAAAGCTTTGCCTGACATATGGTGTGGCTTTATGGTTCTACCATGCAATGGTCTCTGTAAGTATTTACTTAGGCTGAGTTGCACCACCTAACTTTAACGGTAATTATAATTATAACCGGTGGTTTTTGTATGGAGTTTGACAGATTTTTGACGTTTGTTAAAGTTAAACTAAGATGGTTCAACCCAGCCTTAATATTTGTTTACGTCTAAAAATTAGGTAAGCATATTGTTTGCTAATATTTTACGATGTCCATCAAAGATTGTCAAATTTTATATTCATAATAACATAATTTCTATAAAACCACAAAAAGTTACTTTAAAACTTATTAAGTACATAATAATATTAGTTCTTGCAACTCACGAAATCGAGTGAGCTTGACTTGTGTGTGTACGTGTACATGCACATAACGATAGTGTAATGGTAATGTCTATCAAAACTTTTGAAAAACGAACAGTAGCGAGCCACCACACATGTAAAGCTCACTCGCCTTCGTGAATTGCAACAACTATAACTACTAATAACAAAACTATTTACTAAGCGCGACCCTAATTCACTCCAATGAAATCTTTCGTCCACAAGAACTTTGCTTTGACCACAAACTTCGTAACTATGTGAAGTTTGACACTTCCATGGTCTACCCGACCAAAATGTCCGTCATTCTAACATCTGCCTGGGGCAATCGGGCGATAAGATAGTGATTTAACGTTAGTTCTTGAGTGCAGCCGAATGGTGGCCGTTAATTCCATTTGATCCTTTAAGTTTGATATCTGAAACGTGTTGATATACAGCACTAAGTTTTGCTCTCGGCTTCGCGTGAAATTTGTTTTGTCACACAATTCTACTGCGGTTGTAATTTGGCTAATAGATACGATCATTTTAAAAAATAACAAAATCTTCAAAACATAATGAAACTTTTCTATGGACATTTAGGCTTATAAATAAATAAATATAAACAATTAGGTTGGACTGACCTGAAAATCGACAGTGGAGGCGATGTATGTGACTGCACCAGACAGTCTGCCAACAGAGAGAGATGGTGGGAGATCGTGCGGAGAGTTGTATCCGCCTCTACAACTGATGTGAACAACGCCTCAACGTGACCACGACCGCTCTGCCAAGAGCGAAACGAATAAGAAGAAGAAACAATTAGGTATAATTGTAAAGTTGCATCATTTTTTTTTTCAGTAATATTAGCCTAAGAAGAGTGACAAATTAAAACTCATAAAAAACTCAACTCATTTATTTATGCAAGTAGGCTTTTGAAAGGCACTTTTACACGTCCCAGTATTAACCCTACCAATGCTTCAGGACAATAAATGGGCCAGTGCTGAGAAGAAGCATCGTAAGAAACTCAGTCACTATTGTCAGACTCTTTTTCAAGGGTTAAATAATCCATCCATAGTATATCCATAGTAAGAGGTAGAATATGACTAGTAAGGACTAGGACAAGATAATAGCATGAGTCCAAATGAGTAGGATAGGGTTAATCCGTTCATTCGTTCGACATACAGTTATAATCCAAGTTTAGGATGACGTGGAGTTGACACGGATGATTGACGTTTTCGAATGGGTCTCGGATGTTCTCAGTACAAATTGGCCCGTGTCTGGTTATGCTCAGGCAAATTGATTTAACGAGTCTTGTCAATGTAATATCTAAAGCTTTAACCACACCAACGCGTGCAGATTGCCATCACCGGCGCGATCACAGCGCTATCTTAGGCCAGTGACAGGTCGCGCGGACTGTCATGGGTCGCGCGACCTGTCATTGGCCTATGATCGCGCCGGCGATAGCGATTTGCACGCACGCGTTGGTATGGTTGAAGCTTTATAGATTCTAGTTACATTGATAAAGGAGATAGTAGCAAGGGTCATGCTTTATACACCTCGTTAAACAGAGTGTAAGTATTAACTTCGAGGCCATAATGATTGGGGTAATATTGAACGTATTATGATTACAGTCAGATTGGATCAGATTTAATCTGATTACACTACAGGTACATTATACGTTTATGAAATATCGATAGAGTTCCAAAGTCAATACGCGCATCACTTCAGAACCTTTTTGTGTAATATTGTTTTGTTGCATATTAAAATGGAGTTAAGCAAGATAAGGGACCTACAGCAGAGCCTCTAGGCAAAATACTATTCGTTGCAGACTCCAATTTCTGATCGCATTGCTGTCTTTTCTGTATTTTACATTTCGCTACATGCAATAATGACGAAAATCCTTTGTGAGGAACGTTGATATCTTTAAATAATTTTAGTTTAACGAGTTTAAAAACTGATAATAGACCTTCACAAACTATCTTTTTCAAAAACGCCCCCAACAAATAGATAGTAAGTCCACATAATTTCCAGCGGGAAAGAATTTTGGGAACGTATTTTCTGCTAAAACTTTTGCTGAAACAACTAACTTGGCGACGGGCCAACTAAAACTTGTGTTAGATTTTTAGACTGTCGTAATCTACATTGGCTTATGAACTTTATCATTTAAGCCCACAGTGAGGTCCCAAAGTGACAGTGACTTGCAAAGACGAAAGTTTTACTCGGAACTCGGTTATTGGAAGAAAACTAGCATTAAGGAAAGATGTCTTTGATGATATTATTACTATGATAGTCGGGGGACTCTTACGTATAGGTGTTAAGTTGTTCGTATCAGCCAAATAATGTCCACTGCTGGACAAAGAACTTCGGCGTTTCAGCCGAATAACGTCTACCGCTGGACAAAAGCCTCCCCCAAGGATTTCCACAAAGACCGGTCCTGCGCCGCCCGCATCCAGGCACCACCCGTGACATCCACCAGATCGTCGGTCCACCTAGTGGGAGGCCTGCCCTCACTAGGTCTTCCGGCTCAAAGGCCTTATTCAAGGATTTCTACAATGCCCGGTCCTGCGCTGCCCGCATTTAGGTGCTTTGTACGAGTTCGTTATATTTCGTGTTGTTTCTTACCATTTGCATTCTATTTATTCTCTACCTGAATCCTTTTGGGTGGTTTGCGTGGGCTTTATAATCGTTATTTAGTAAATCCTACATAATTTTGAAATCGGACAACAAAACTCTCTTCATTAATGTCGTAGCTACGTAGGCGTGGGTCACTCGCCCACGACTTTGTAAATCATGCGGGACTCTTAGGGCTTGATAACTAAACATTTAATAGTTCTTAAAGGCAATTTGCCACAAATAGGTACGATTACAATACGTATGTTCAATGCATAGAAAGGAAAATTGTCATTATTTTATGTAGAAGAAAACATAGTGACGAGTAATAATTTGCTACAAAAATCCGCATCCATAAATGATAGGTTATATTAAACACACAATAAGTACCACAAGCGTCTTTAACCCGTCTGGTCAGTGTGTGGAGTGTAGGCCAAATCCTCTTTTTGCCCCTCAAATTGGAGAGGGTCGTGCACTTACAGTGGAGACTGAATGACCTGACGATGATGACTCAATAATTTATTGATTTAGCACAATCACATTAGGTTTTAAGATTGCGGTTCACACCACTACAGTGACAGGAACTTGACTTTAGGCAATGTGTAAGCGACAGTTCGCGAGCGATGTAGACACAAGAGACAGAAACCTAAAACTTCAACCACACAACGCGTGCAGAGCGCCATCGCGGCGCGTTCATAGGCCAGTGACAGGTCGCGCGACCTATG